ACCACCTTGGCCTTATTGATCATGTATATAAGTAAGATACCAACCCTGTTTCTACCTAGGAGTATTTGTGTTTTAAAAGGATTCTCTTAAAAATGGTGAAGCCAAAGGCTATCATTTTCTACTAGGGAACTTTCTCTACAGGAGGAGGAAAACAGGTTTTAGATATATGGACAAAGTTCAGGAGGAGAACACAAAGGATGTTAAGTTTTGTCTCTGAAGTCTGATAAAATAAATTAAGAATTCCTAGGGAAAGGAGTGTCTGGAATGAATGTTGGTAAATGAGTAGGTATTTGTTAGGATAGGAGGTCGGGGATAGAAGGTTGGCTTTTCAAACAAAGAGATCCACTAAGAGAAAAGGCAGGAAGTTATGAAACCACATGGGAGAATCAGAGAGTTGTAAAAATTCTGAGGTCAAGACAACTGCTAGGTTAGATAATTTAGCGTCTTGAATGTCATTTTAAGAATTTTGCTCTTTTCTCTGTGAACTGTGGAAAATCTTTGAAGGATTTTAAGAAGGAGGGTTACATGATCTCTCTTGGATTTTAAAGATCACTGTTACTTTGGTAGCATTTGGAAAATGACTTAGAGGAAGTGAGATGAGAGCTCAAGAGACAGTTGGGTGATTATTTCCAAGTTTAGATAAAAGGTAAATCCAGGCTGAACCCTGGGGATCAAAGGAGGAAGGAGAGGAGGGTGTAGGTATAAGGACTTGTAAGGACGGGAAATTGACAAGGCTTAGTTAATGGGTCCAGGAGACAGAGGGAGGTAACATAAAGGGAGGATTAAAGAATGACTTTTTGCTTTCTGGCTTTAGTAAAGGAGTAGGTGATAGTGTCTTCTACAGAGAGAAGGAAAGGTAGGAGGAGAACAGATTTGTAGTTTTGGAAATGGGTTTGGCTTTGGAGGTGACTGTGTGGTCTGGCTGGAGCTCTTTAGGTAGTTCATCAGCATGAATGGTCAGTAGTTAACCTCGTAGGCATTGGTAAGCTCATGGAGAAGGTGTTTATGAATGAGAAGAGTTTGGAGATCACTGACATATGAGTGAAATGATGAAAAGTCTGCTCAGATACCTTCCCTGAAGGACTTTCCAAACCTTTAGACCAGAAATTGGTCCATCATCTGAAGTGGATCATTTTTTCAGTTGGTATGCTTGAATCAAGATCCAAAAAAAGTAGCTGAAGAAAGGAGAATGGTGTAAAATGACTTATGTTGCTTCCAACCAGTCAAGTCCATGGTTAAAAGCCAGAGGAGTCTGCCTTAGCTGGAGCGGTCATCTCCATGTGCCTTGAAGGCACTGGAGAAGAGCTGACTAGGGCTTGGTAGCCCTTATTCACTTTGCTTCTTTCCTGCTTGAGACTTAAAATTCAAGTGTAAAAATTTCATTCCTTAAGCTTCAGAATTTGACTACAGTTAATATCTATATTCCCTTACTAAATGATAGGGCTTAATATTTTCCCCATTATATATATATTTTTAATAATAACACAGATTCCATGATTTGCCTCCAAAATAATTACTTCCATATCTGTGTCTGATAACACTTGATGAATACTTCTGTTATAGTTCTAATCTAGCGCTATTCATATTATTCTTTCCATGACATTCTCTATCAGATTATGTCTGCAAGGTCAGAGGCCTCATTTTATTCATCACTGTATCAACATCAAAAATAGCAGATGTTCAATTAAATTTTGAGTGAATTATTAATGATTTATGAAAGTAGTACCTGATTGGCCCTTTCAGTTTCAAAATACTACTTTGTAACAGTAACATGTGCATCCTTCTTGGGAAGTCAATTTCTTTATTATCCCTATATGACACATATGGAATATAAGCTGACAAGGTTTCATAGCTCAGACAAGGTTACACAGGCATTAAGGGATGGAACCTGTGTTTTTTCATACCATTTCCTTCCCTTTTCTCTCTGCATGGCTGAGCCTCCCCTCTGCCCACCCCATAAAAAGTCTCTAAAAGGGGAAAAGACTAAGAGCACTGGGTCCTTCTGAGAAGTATGGAGTAAATGAGGTTTTGTCTCCGAACATGGAAGCTGGGAAGAGGTGAAAAACTACATCCACTGCCAATTTTGTCTGGAGTAGCCTTGAAAGCGAACATTTTACAGAGACACCACTGAGCTCAGATTTCCACGAAGGTCAGGTCAGCAGTAATCCTGGCATTATGTGCTATCAGGCCTGTGACCACAACATAAATGCCAGGGAAAGAAATCTTACAGTCAGTTTGTGAACTCCGTTTGAAAATGCAGGTGTGGTTGTAAAGAGCCAAGAATACAGGGAGTTTGAGTTACAAGAGCAGATGTTAAATATGCATCTTAAGAAAGGATCATTGGGGTTTAGAATAGTATTGACCATACTCCAGTTCTATATTCTGATTCAAAAAAAGGCTTTTGTTGCTGTAAACTCCAAGTGTACAATGTTAAAGGGAAATATACGTTATACATAGTGGCAAAATTCAGTGAGCTTTAATAATGGGCCAAGTAAGTGAGTTCCTGGAAAATGAGTACTCTGAGGGTTAAATGAATGTAATTGAAGGTGGGTCCTCTACCATTTTAGGGGCAAGAGCTCTTTCACTTAGGCTCTGTGGGGTAGCGTGTAAGGGTAGGGCTAAACAAAAAGAAGGAAGAAAAACAAATGTAGTAAGGACAAGATTTCTGATTTCTAATACATTTATAATTTAGCTCTCCCTATCCCAGCCACGTAATGCCATCTCAGTTGGCTGATCCCTTTGGATTGGACTTCCTGGTACTCTGATATGCTGGCATACATTGTATACCATAGTGAAGGTTGTAAGCTGCCTGTGAGTAAATGTTAATGCCTTTTTCTGTTACAAAATGTAAAGAATTGGAATTTGCCGCTGTACTTCCTGGTGTCTACGTGTGCACGAGGGTCTCTGACAGGGTCTCTGGGACATCTCTATTTGTATGTATAACAACTTGTTGTGAAATCTTTACATTCAGTTGTTCAGCTGAATCTCCCAGGACTTTCTTTCAAAGATCTTTGGGCAAGGGAATGCCATTATGTGCAGTCATTATCCCCATAAAAGAAGTCACCGAATAGGGTCACCTAATTTCTTCTTCCTACCGCCCTTGCTTCAGCTCCCTGACAATGGTTTCTAGGGGCACACTGCCATTCTGTTCTTGCTTTTATTGGTTTCTCCTTCATCACTCATCAATAAGAAACAACAACAAAACCCAGGCATGTGGCTGAATGACCTTTCCACTTGTGTTATCTTTCTGTCTGATTCCATTCTATGATGACAGAATGGAAAATCCTTGAAGGCAGGTGCTATACTTATTCATAATTTATATTCAAGATCAGGCCTCTTTTAGATGTTTATTAAATTTTATATAAAAAGCATTTAAAAACTTTGATAGAATGACCCAAGACATACTTTATCTTCTCTTTTTATTTTCTTCTTTTCTTTTAGTGGCTGGTAGAAATAGGAAAAGGTGGGGGGTAAGTCATTTAGATGGGGAAAGACATTTCTCTAAATGTCAATACTTATGAAACGCCATTTTAAACCTTTATAAATGATTATCTTCCTCAGTACTGATGAGGCAGTTTCACATTGCTGCTCAATTTATTTACTCAGGAGACCAATTTATTTCACTACCTCTGTACTAACTGTTTGCATTGACATCTAGGTCTGCTTTGAGCAAGCAACTGTGACAAGTTGTTTATTGAACTGTAAACAGGTATTGTCTGAAGCTAAACAACGGCTTTATCTAATTAGGAGACCCTGGGCATCATCTTAGCCCCATGTGGCTATCCTAACCCAGCCTAGCATCTCCTGCAGACTTCCGTGCCTTTTAAAATCTTGCTCACAGTAAAACCCTCCATCACAAAATGAAGAATAATTCTTATTTTGTCCTGTAACTGTACATACTGGTGTTTTGTGCAAAAAAAAGGACTGACTGCAATAAACTGTGTGAGTTCGGCCCAATTTAGAATGGTTGAATAAGAAAAGGAAAACATGAATGAGATATAAAAAGAAAAGGATGAATAAAGATGAACTGGGTCTGTTGCCTAGGCTGTAAAAAGGCCTTATATAAATTAGAAAGCATTTTCCTACCAAAGGGGAACTTAGTGAAATGATGGCGATGTCAGTTTTCAAACAAAAATACAGGTATGATTATGGAAAGCACAACAGGAGAGCTGAAGGAAGAACAGTTAATTTTTTGGACTCAGATTGAAATAGAGCAGGTGGAAAAGCACTTGGGAGTCCTCATCTTAGCCGCCATTGCTTTGTGTCTGAAGATGCTAATTGAGCACAGCAATCAATGTCTTTTGTTTTTAGCTGTCAGCACTTTCCTGAAGGGCTTTGCCCAATACTAGAGGGAGGAACTCTTAACGAAGCTTCACTTTTCGGTAGCTATTATTATTACAGTTTCCTCTTGGAAGGAAAGAATTAATTGCTATTTTGAAAGAAAAAAAAAGCCACTGCCATGAAGTTTTCAAATGTGAGGCCAAATGTAGATCACTTTCTTAAAAAAAGAAAAAATGGCCAAGGGCTACCCCATTGCTATACATCACAGAGAAAAAGGATATAAAAGTGAGCAGGGTGATGAGGTATTTCTTTCAGTTGCAATATAGACATTATGTTTATTTTATCATAAAGCCAGATTTCCACATGCCTTTTGTCTCTCCCCAGGCATTGAGAGTTGCTTTCTTGGTTGCTTCCTTAACGATTTGTGTAATTGGTTTCACTCGCTGAGGCCCAATTGGTGGGTTCATTGTGAGTGTCTCATGAAATATGAATCTATTTAAAAATTAATAGTAAATCAATATTAATTCAATCAAATATTTTAATCTGAGGTATAAATATTTTATACCTTCACACAGACATGCAGATTTCAAAAGCTGTTTTCATGTTTCTGACAGGCTGTCCAGTTTTGCCACGACGACATTGAAATTATTCTTCCTTGCATGGTGTGCCAGCTCTGGGCTCTCTCAGGAGGAGCTGCCCAGGTCAATGGTTATGTTTATTCAAACTGCTGAAGGAATGCAAATGAGATGCTTGCTACAGAAGAACACAGGAAAGTTTATCTTGTTTAATCGAGTTTATAGTTTCTCGTGTCTCTGCCTGGAATAGACTTAAAGGGAGTCTCATGCAATCTTAGAGGTTAATCCTTGTTCACACCAGGTTTGACTCATATCAGCCCTGGCGTGCTGTGGTACCTGAAGGCTTCCCTGACAAGGGGCTCTAAAGAGATGGACTGCCACCGATCTAGCTGAAATGAGCCAGTTGCACCTAGCTGATAAAACCAGAGATTTACTGGAGCAGACAGGCCAGAGCTTAAACAGGCTTCTCTCTCTATTGAAACCCCTTCTGTCACTTGAATCAGTCATCTTCCCTGTCAGGCGGCATCAGCTAAAACAATAGAGTGGCGTCAGAGTTTAGCTGAAAAGAAGGAGATGTCAGACAACAGATAAGAGAGCCTTATTCTGATCCGTGGGGTTTGGTCTGCTTGCAGTTCCCCGCCTGAATTCTAAGAGGGTGGTTCCTACTCCAGGTGTAGAATAAAGCCATAAAGCCTTTAGAGCTCAGGTAATGATAATGAATTAGGAGGGGAAAAATGGTTTCAGTACTGATTTAATACAAGAAATGCTAGGTAATGGCTAAAAAAATAATTTTTCTCCTGTTGGGGTTTCTACCTTCATTTGTCTTTAATATATCTATGCTGCTTGATGCCTAAGCTATATTGGTGGACAGAAATAAGCTCCCAAGGAGGAAAATGTAAGCTGAACACATTAAAAATTCATTGGCTATGGTTTCTTCTTCAGGGAGTGATGGTAAATGAGGCAATTGAATTACTGAATGTTTTCTGTGCATGGCCCAAGCCCTGGAGAAAAAGTCTACCCAGGTTAGAATAGCCCCAAACTAGAAAGCAGACGTTATGGACACAGTGGAGGATTTAAATAAGATGCCTAACAGACAAGACTTGAGTCCTTTACATCTCTGTGGGTCCCCAGAGTCCTGCATAGAGTCTTGCATGTAGTAGGCCCTCAACATACATTTTGCTGAAGGGATGAATATTTAGATATTCAGTTTTGACCATTATTTAATTTGCCTTTGCAGTATTCTCTGGACACAAAATATGTATATTTCAAAACTGTGCCCTAAAATGATATATATGCTTAACTTTTCAGAAATTTATTGTTGTATTTTCATTTTAGAAGAGAAGGCTGCAACTTTGTAGAAATGTATTGTTACTGCTTATTGAAGCTAAGGGAATGTCACTGCTCCCATCAGGCCCCATCAGGGCTCTCTTTTCTGTGTGTGGGAGGGTACCAGGAACAAAGGTTTCTTCTAAGGTGCCCCCTGGCACTGACAGTGCTCTTCTCTTCCATTTTCCCTTATCTGGTAAGGTGCTTTATTTCTGAATGTATCTGAGTGGGTTCTCTGGCCTTCTTTCATAAGCCTATTGAGTGGGAGGTGTGGATCAGTACATGTGGAAAGGGCCTGAGTCTGCTGCCAAATCAAGAGGGGGCCTTGATAGGTTGACCAACTGTTCTGTTTTGCCCAAGACTGTACTAATTTTGGTACTGAAGTTTCCACATCTTTGGAAATCCCTGAGTTCTGAGCAGAGACAGGGCACTTGATATGTCACGTCTTGGACTTTTATGTTGTTCTGGGTTTCAGGTAAATGCTGAATTCCTGGAAGTGACATGGGTTTGAAGATTGAAAAGGACTGATACGTTTCTGATTTTTCTAATAATAATATGTAAAATGACAGTCGTATAGTTTAGAGATCACTCACCTGGTGGTCTTTGCAAGCTCCATTCAGACTCACAAACCACATTTAGAATCCATTTACCAGAAGGATCCAGCTGAGGAACCACAGCTTGACTGGCACAGTGGGGTGAGCAATTCTCTTCTGTCAGAGGACACGAGAGCTCAGTGGTAGAGCGAAGTTTCAAACTCAATGTCGTTGCCTTGCTTCTAACCACTGTGCTACGGGCACTCTGCAGTTAACAGTGATGGAGGTGATTAGTCAAAGTGTGATTACTTTTACTGGAGTTGTTTATTTGTATTTTTCCAATCAGTTATGACTCTCTTAAGGGCAAGAATCTGGCCTATTCAACCTTGCATTCTCCCTGGGACCTAGTGGCTTCTGTGCTATAGGACATTCTTTTGGCTTATTGAGGGGGTGGCCTAGCCTCCTGAATGTGGATGTTGATATATAAGAGCCTCATCATTGAACAGCCTTCCTTCTCACTTCCCCCTCCTCTCCATCTTCTTTTTCCTACCATCACCTTTGGAGTTTACCCTGTCTGTCTCTCATGGAAAGTGGATGGAGGAAACATTATTTACATGGGGATAAAAAAGTCAGGCCTTCCTAATTCTTGCTGTGTGTGTAGGTGTCTAGATGTGTGTGCACACACTTTTGTAGATAGGCAAGATGAGGGAGACATAAAGCCTTATTCAGATTTATGTATCTTTTTATGTAGACAGATTTTAATACTCAGGAACTTATCTATTTCTTCAAAACCACCCAGATTTACTAGGAGGACAAAAAATGTATTGCCCTGTTGCCTAAAAGCAGCTGTTCCAGATGTGTGAAGAGAGGCCATATGCAAACATCCCAAAGGTGTGACACTTTAAAGGATGACGCTTTATTTAACTCTAAATGTTTGGATTTCTAAGAATTTAATTTCTTCATTTCTTTTGAACTAGAAAGCAGTATAGCATATTAGGAAAAATCGGAGTGGTGTAAATGCTGATATTGCTGTGATCTTAGTCAGAAAAATTAAACTTCTGAACTTTATTTTCTTCAACTAGGAAGTGGTATGTCTAGCTTGTAGGGTTTTTGTAAGGTAGAAGTATTGTTTGAAGTAATAATTTCTGGCACATCATGATGACTCTAGAAATAGTAGCTATTAAAAGTAAGAAAGAACTTAGTTTAGCTTAAGAAAGTGCTTTCAAATATTAGCACTGCCCAGCAATGAATGAGCTCCACGTCATTGAAGCCATTGAAAACAAGGCCAAATCATTATCTCTCTGGGATGCAGTAGAGGGAATTTCTATGCAGTGTAGAGAATTCCATTATTTAATAGATTATATGAAGGGTTGAGAAAGTCTCACCTAAATTTCTCTTAATAAAAATACTGAAATTTTTTTAAAAAACCACTTGTTGATAGTTTTTATGGTAGATAGATGAAATTGGTAGGACTCAGAGAAGAATCTTATTCCCAGAATGGGAAGACCAGGTGTGATGCTCCTTTTAAGATGATATTCCCCCTGTCCTGGCATTGTTGGAAGGAGGTGGTGAAGAGAATAAGGAACCTGGATGTCTTTCTTCCACTTTGTCATGGCCCCCTGTCTTCTTCAGTTCTAGCCCTAGGATTTTTTCTACTGTCAGAGGAATAGGGAAGGACTTTCACAGTGCATGGTCACTTAGCCAACATCCCAGGAAGCACTTTGTGAAGGGAGTGGTTATTCTGGGAAGGCTGGGAGAGTGGGTAAAAATTGTCTCCAATACAGTCTGTGCATTTGTTGCCTTAGCTTTGTTATGATGGTATTTGATGGGACTTCCAGTAGTTTTCCCCTTACACAGGGCTCAAGATAAATCTTGGATGACTTTTGGGTATTTGTATATGGTAAGAAGACAAGTGACCCCTTCATTAAAGTTAGTTTAAGGAACACAGTTTACCGAAGTTGGGCACTCTACATTCCCTAGATCAAGCTTGTCTAACCCATGGCCCATGGGCTGCATGTGGCCCAGGATGCCTTTGAATGTGGCTCAACATAAATCAGTAAACTTTCTGAAAACATTATGAGAATTTTTTGGTAATTTGTTTTTAGCTTGTCGGCCATCGTTGGTTTTAGTGTATTTTATTTATGGCTCAAGACAATTCTTCTTTTACCAATGTGGCTCAGGGAAGCCAAAAGGTGGTACAGCCCTGCCCTGGACTGTAAGCTATAGGACTGTTAGCTTACTGCCAGCAGCATTTTTCCTTTTGGTTTTAATACTAGAAAATGTAACTTCCTTTGAAAAGATGATGCTTTAAAGATTATTAATGAAGTTAAGACCTCAAGTTATCTATAGAAAATCTTTTTTTTTTTGCTGCAAGCTGCAACCCCTTATTCATAAGGTCAAAGTACCTCAAAAGGTGTCTGATAAAAGCACATTTCTACTGATGTTGCTTGATATGGTCTTTATTCACACAGAAATGGAGTTCACAATTAACATGATGCATTAATTATGTCCATCTCAATAGCAATTAAAAAATTTTTTTTGAAAAGGAACAAATTAATATTTCTTATAAACATATACACAGTAATTCTTAACAAAATATAAGCATATCAAATACAGCAATATAGAAAAAGAATAATACATTTTTGGTTTAACATTAAATTCACACAATACAATTTACATATTAATTTAAGGAGAAAAATTATGTGACAGTTCAACAGGTGCAGAAAAAGCGTTTATCAATTCATGATAAGAACTCTGCAAAGGCCGGGCGCAGTGGCTCAAGCCTGTAATCCCAGCACTTTGGGAGGCCGAGGTGGGTGGATCGCGAGGTCAAGAGATCGAGACCATCCTGGTCAACATAGTGAAACCCCGTCTCTACTAAAAAAATATATAAAAAATTAGCTGGGCATGGTGGCGCGTGCCTGTAATCCCAGCTACTTAGGAAGCTGAGGCAGGAGAGTTGCCTGAACCAAGGAGGCAGAGGTTGCGGTGAGCCGAGATCATGCCATTGCACTCCAGACTGGGAAATAAGAGCGAAACTCTGTCTCAAAAAAAAAAAAAAAAACTCTGCAAAATAAAAAGAAGGAAAAATTCTCAGTCTAATGAAAGGCATGTACAAAAATTCTAGAGCTTATGTTATTCTTAGTGGTGAAATGCCAAATGTACTTCCTCAAAGAGAAGTTACAGACATGGGTGTCTACTCTTTATTTTATTTTATTTTTTAATTTCTTTAAGGTTTACTTAAATATTAATCTATATGGAATTAATATCTTTGTGTGTGTGTGTGTGTGTGTGAAAATGGCCAATATGCCCAAAATGATTTGTAGATTCAATGCTATTTCCATTAAGGTACTACTGACTTTCTTCACAGAATTAGAAAAAACGACTTTAAATTTCATATGGAACCAAAAAAAGAGCCGGTATAGCCAAGACAATCCTAAGCAAAAAGAACAAAGCTGGAGGCATCACACTACCTGACTTCAAACTGTACTATAAGGTCACAGTAACCAACACAGATATATTGACCAATGGAACAGAACAGAAGCCTTAGCAATAATATTACCCATCTACAACTGTCTGATCTTTGACAATCCTGAAAAAAACAAGCAATGAGAAAAGGATTCCCTATTTAATAAATGGTATTGGGGAAAACTGGCTAGCCATATGCATAAAATGGAAACTGGGCCCCTTCTTTACATCTTATACAAAAGTTAACTCAAGATGGATTAAAGACTTAAAATCTAAAACCACAAAAACCCTAGAAGAAAACCTAGTCAATACCATTCAGGACATAGGCATGGGCAAAGATTTCATGACTAAAACACCAAAAGCAATGGCAACAAAAGCCAAAATTAACAAATGGTATCTCATTAAACTTCTGCTCAACAAAATAAACTACCATCAGAGTGAAGAGGGGCAACTTACAGAATGGGAGAAAACTTTTCCAATCTATCCACCTGACAAAGGTCTAATATCCAGAATCTATAAAGGACTTGAACAAATTTATAAGAAAAAAAACAAAAAAACCCTGTCAAAAAGTGGGCAAAAGATATGAACAGACATTCCTCAAAAGAAGACATTTATGTGGCCAAGAAATGTATGAAAAAAATCTCATCATCACTGGTCATTAGAGAAATGCAAATCAAAACCACAGTGAGATACCATCTCATACCCATTAGAATGGCACTCATTAAAAAGTTAGGAAATAACAGATGCTGGAGAGAATGAGGAGACATAGGAACACTTTTACACTGTTGGTGGGAGTGTAAATTAGTTCAACCATTGTGGAAGACAGTGTGTCAATTCCTCAAGGAGCTAGAACCAGAAATAGCATTTGACCCAGCAATCCCATTACTGGATATATACCCAAACGAATATAAATCATTCTACTATAAAGACACATGCACACATATGTTTATTGTAGCACTGCTTACAACAGCAAAGACTTGGAACCAACCCAAATGCCTGTCAATGATAGATTGGATAAAGAAAATGTGGCACATATACACCATGGAATACTATGCAGCCATTAAAAAAGGATGAGTTCATGTCCTTTGCAGGGACATGGATGAAACTGGAAACCATCATCCTCAACAAACTAACGCAGGAACAAAAAGCTAAACACATCATCTTCTCATTCATAAGTGGGAGTTGGACAATGAGAACACATGGACATAGGGAGGGGAACATCACACACCAGGGCCTGCCATGGGATGGGGGTGAGGAGAGGAAGAGCATTAGGACAAATACCTGTTAAAACCTAGATGACTGGTTGACGGGTGCAGCGGACCACCATGGCACATGTATACCCACGTAACAAACCTGCACGTTCAGTACATGTACCCCAGAACTTAAAGTAAAATTTAAAAATTTAAATATAATTAAATTTGAAGCATAAAATAATTTCCTTTAAAACATACCTGGATTCTTAAATTTCCCAAAATGTTTTTTGAGGAAAAAAACTTTTTGTTGTTGTTGTTTGACTAAATTTTTTTTTGCTATTTGACTGAATCTAAGGTATTTGAAAATTACTCAGGACGACTTTGTCAAGATCTAATAAATTTCTACTTAAAATAATGTCTTAGTTTCTCTGATACAAGTTGTAATGGAGTTTTCAGTCTGGGTTTTTCTATTTACCCTCAAGTTTTCCTTCTCTTTAATCTGGTGACTTCCATCTTAATGGAATTTTAGTCAGATTTTTATTAAAATATAAACTAGAATTACTTTCCTTTCATATTTTTAACTAAAAAGATGTACAGAGATGGGATTCCAAATGGATACTGGAAATCAGAAGATAAAAATAAATTTAATATCACTGATTTACAGTTACTTTGTATCAAGGATTGTAGGTTTTAAAACTATTATATACTATAGAAGATTTATTAGTTGAACATTTTGTTTTTTTTGGGGGGGTTTTTTGCTTAGGGTTCATTCGGGAAAATAATAGAATCTGCTGTCAGTATTTCAACAGAAAGAATGCAATATTAAAAATTGCTTTCACGGATTATATAAGGGCTCTAAGGTCATGCAAGAGATGGTGTGGCATGCCAAGTAGTAATAAGAACAAAACCCACTACCGTCCCTAGGCCTAGGACAACAGGAGCAGGTGGTGTTACCAGGATCTAGAAGCTGGGCTATCTGGTGGGAGATGAAACCATAGCAGAGAGGGACTGTCTAGTAGCATCTCCAGAGCCACCGAGAAGACTTAGTCCCTAGAGATTCTACCCCAAGGAGTCTTAGAAATGTTGTTTGCTTTGATTGTAAGAGAGCAAAAAGAAAAAAGGAAAAGTAGTAAATTTGTCGGAGAACAGGAGAACATACAGGCAAATGGTTGGGACAATGGGAACCAGAACAGATGCTGTTTGATGCATAAAGATATAGAACCTTTCAGTACCAGAGAGGAGACAGCTTCTTTATTTTCAGTGTACATCTTGGACGACATCTTTAAAATGGTAGCTTGCACTGATTTCTCCTTCTTTAGGCCTTATTTTATAAGGTATAATGTAACCCATTCATAATGGGTATGAAATAAACAGTTTAATCCCAAGTGTCTGTGGTTATGTTGTCATGCTTAAAAGTGCGAGACACCGAGCGTTGTGCTTAACTTAGATAATGCTCTCTTTATCCTAGTCATCTGGGAACTGAAGAGATCACCGACTAGCAAGCATATTCATTCCTCAAAGACACAGGCCAGATTCACCCGGAATCACTCAACAGAGAGGTAAGGCACAATGAAAATGGACAAACTATTTGCAGGCAGAAAGGCAGCAGGCATTCTATACACTGACAGGACAAGCCTGCTTCAGCACTTTTGCAGGTCTGAATTATAGCTGGTAGGAAGAGGATGAGCTGGAGCCATAGAGATACAGTTATTGGAAACTTGAAACTTACAGTGTAAACATTCAACAATTGCTGACAGAAGAAAAAGAGGATCCAGACAGAATCAGGACATGAACATTTTTCTTAAAGGTTCATTGGTTCCCTAGTGGGAAAAGAGAGGAAGGCAGTGCCTGAACTTGCTTCTTTGTTTCTACTTTTAAAGATAATTTGACTACTTACTTCATTCATGCATTCAACAAATATGTGTTACATTTTTGCTCTGTGCCAGGATAAAATGATAAATTGGATGTAAGTGGCCCTTGCCCTCTGAGAGCTTATAGTCTAGAGGAAGATGCTAACTAGTGACCAGAAACTCCAGAAAAATTGAACAGTTGTTAGAATGGACAAAGCGAGGACTTCTAGGTTCTTATGTTGAAGGAGTACCTAATCCAGGTGGAGTGAGAAAAAGGCGTTGAAAGATTAGAGGGAAAAAGCCCACAATATTAAGCTTTGCAGGATGAGTAGGGATTGTTCAGGAAAAGGGTAATTGGGAAGAATAATCTAAGCAAAAGAATAGCATACCATATACAAATTCTTGCCAGCAAGGAGAGCACAGTGTTTTTGAGGATATAAAATAAATTCAAAATGGCTGGTAGATAGATGGTCATGTATGAAGCGGCATGATAGAAACCAGTGAGGTAAGCAGGCTTCAGGTCTTCATAAAGTATATTGAGGAGTTTATATTTAACCCATTCATTCGTTTATCCATCTACACAGCCCTTCAACAAATAGTTTTCAGGTCTATATGCTAGGTACCTGGCATAAAATTGTGAATGAGAAAGACAAAACCTCTCCTCTTCTCTCACAGAACCCAATAGTCTATGCAGGGAAATCATTTAAAAAGCAGTTTTAGTAAAGCACAAAAGGTTCTATGAGAAGGCAGCTATGCTGCAAGGTGGTTGCTGTGCAAACATGCAGTAGAGGCACTGAATCTAATTTTGTTAGCAGGGAGGAGGATGGTGGTGGGGAGAGATAAGGAAGATGATCCGGAAGAAATGACATTTAACCTAAGACCTGAAGAATTGTTAGGAGTTGGTAGTTAGAGAGATTGAGGTAGTGGTTCTCTAAACAGGGAAGAGCATGTGCAAAAAGCTGGAAGCAAGAAAGAACATGCCTCATCTGAAGACGTAAAAGAATTTCTCTATGGCTAAAGGAGTGTATATATGTTAAGGGTAGTGAGAAGGAACATTTAGAGCATTGAGTAAGATTACTGGGCATGTATATGAAGAAATTTAAGAGTTGTTAACAGATTCCCTATATATTAGCAATTATTATTTAAATGTAGCTGAGAAAAAAATCGTCAGCAAAAGTATTAATGATGGTAACAGTGAACACATATGAAGCATTATGACTTGTACCAAAGCTTCTATTTTGAGTCACTGCAGAACCTGACTCTTGCAGTTCTGTGCTCCTTTCACTGCATTATACCATTTCTAGAAACTTCATTCACTGTGTGATCATAACTCTGTTGAAAACTTTTCTCTCCCTTTAGGCTTCTCAATCCATCTTTCCTGCACTTATACACAGGAGACAAGTGTTTAGCTCGGCTCCAGCCAGTAGACAGCCTGGTGATGTGCCGTTCAGTAGCAGAATCTCTGAATGAGTGCCTAGAGCTAGGGTCTTCCTACCAGTGTTTGAGGAGGAGCAGTGGCTGCCCAAGTCTGGGTTCTTTTTTTCTGACACCCTTGTTCTTAATCTTACTGGCTTTATTTCCAGTGTATTCTTGTACTTTCCCTATTCTCGTCTTTTAAAGTTCTTCCTATTCAAAGGATTACTTGCTTCCCAATGCTTCTGGATCATTCCATTCTGCACATACTGTATTGGATAACGTATTGACATGTTACAATGCAATTTTATGATTTTATGGACATGCACGTAAGTTTCTCAGCATGCTGGCCACAGTAAACACATTCCCATCAGTAAAGGCACAGTGCATGGACAGCCTAGATGTTAGCTAGTTTAAGAAACTCTCTAAACCTTAGTTAAATGACCTAACGTGCTACTTTGGAATTACCATAATGCCTTCGGGAAAGACATTTATCTGGCTATGTTTAATTTTCTACGGCAATAGCTTCAAGAAAAAATACTGAAGGAGGATTTATTTGCTCAATACTTTCTGTGGTGATATTTTTATTTTGTATTAAACATACCTGCTATATAAATTCAGTGCTTCCTCAGTTCATCATAGTTTAGGTATATTTAAAATATCACGTGCTATCAATGTAAGTCTGAAACTTGTTTACTGAATTTCTTCCTGAGCTGAGTCCAGACACTCTTTAACTTAGAATAAATTGCACATGCAGAATGAAGATAAAATGCCAACATTCAGAGCAGGGCAAGTAAATATTGTCATGAGCAGGGCTGAAATAGAGAAAGGAGCATTGGGCTTGGAGTGAGAAAAAGTGGGTCTGCAACTCAACTTTTCTATTTAGTGGCAGTGGGACCTGGGATAAACCTGAACCTTGCTTTTCTCACACAAAATTGGCACGATGGATTCATGCCTTGCTTTCCTGTATTTATTCATTTGTGATTTCATTCACTTATGAAAAAATATTTGCTGACCTCATAGAATGAGTTAGAGAGGACTCCCCCTCCTCAATTTTTTTTTTTTTGAATACTTTCAGTAGGGATGGTACCAACTCTTCTTCATACATTTGATAGAATTCTGCTGTGAATCCATTGGGTCCTGGGTTTTTTTCTGGTTGGTAAACTTTTTATTACTGATTCAATTTTGGAACTCATTGTTGGTCTTTTCAAGAATTCAGTTTCTTCCTGGATCAGTCTTGGGAGGTTGTACGTGTCCAGGAATTTATCTGTTTCTTCTAAGTGTTCTAGTTTGGGTGCATAGACGTGTTTATAGTAGTCTTTGAGGGTTTCTTTTTATTTCTGTGGGGTTGGCAGTAATTCCTTTTGTCATTTCTGATTGTATTTGTTTGGATTTTTTTTCTTTATTAGTCTAGCTGATGGTGTACCAATCTTGTTCTTTCAAGAAACAAATTCCTGATTAGTTGATCTTTTCTATGGTTTTTAATGTCTCAATTTCCTTTAGTTCAGTTCTGATTTTGGTTATTTCTTGTCTTCTGCTAGCTTTGGGGTTGGTTTGCTCTTGTTTCTCTAGTTCCTCTAGGTTTGATGTTAGATTGTTAATTTGAGATCTGTCTAACTTTTTGATGTGTGTGTTTAGTGCTACAAACTTCCCTCTTAACACTACTTTAGCTGTGTCTCACAGGCTTGGACATGTTGTGTATTTATTATCATTTGTTTCAAAGAATTTCTTGATTTTGGCTTTAATTACGTTGTTTACCCAAAAGTCACTCAGGAGCATGTTGTTTACTTTCCATGTAATTGCATGATTTTGAGCAATTTTCTTAGTGAGGCCAGCATCATCCTGATATCAAAACCTGGCAGAAGCACAATACAAAAAGGAAACTTCAGGCCAATATCATTGATAAATATGAATGCAAAAGGCCTTAACAAAATACTAGCAAACTGAATCCAGCAGCTTATCTAAAAGCTATCCACGATGATCAAGTAGGCTTTATCCCTGGGATGCAATGTTGGTTCAACATATGCAAATCAACAAATGTGATTAATCACACACACAGAATTAAAAACAAAAACCACATGATCATCTCAATAGATGCAGAAGAGATTTCTGATAAAAATTAAATATTCCTTCATGTTATAAACCTTCAAAAAACTAAGCTTTGAAGCAACATACCTCAAAATAATAAGAGCCATTCACGACAAACCCACAAGCAACATCATACTGAATAAGCAAAAGCTGGAAGTGTTCCCCTTGAGAACTGAAACAAGACAAGATGTCCACTCTCACCATTCTTATTCAACATAGTACTGGAAATCCTAGCCAGAGCAATCAGACAAGAGAAAGAAACAAAAGGCATTCAATAGGAAGAGATTATTTGATTCTATACTTAGAAAAATTCACAGTGTCTGCTCAAAAGCTCCTAGATGTGATAAGCAACTTTGGCAATGTTTCAGGCATACAAAATTATTGTACAAGAATCAGTACCATTTCTATACACCAGCAACATCCAAACTGAGAGCCAAATTAAGAATGCAATCCCATCCTCAACAGCCACAAAAAGAACAGAATACCCAGGAATACAGCTAACTATGGCTGCTCAAAGAAATCAGAGATAATACAAACAAATTAAAAAATATTCCATGGTCATGGATAGGAAGAACCAATATCATTAAAATGGCTATACTGCCCAAAGCAATTTACAGATTCATTACTTTTCCTATCAAGTTACCAAAGACATTCTTCACAAATTATAAAAAACTGTTTTAAAACTCATATGGCACCAAAGAATAGCTTGAATAGCCAAGGAAATCCTAAGAAAAAGAGTAAAACTAGAGGCATCATCTTCCTTCACTTCAAACTATACTACAAGGCTACAGTAACCAAAACAGCTTGGTACTGATACAAAAACAGACATATAAACCAATGAAACAGAATAGAGAGACAAGAAATAAAGCTGCACACCTACAAACATCTGACCTTTGACAAACTCAACAAAAACAAGCAAAAGGAAAAGGATTCTCTATTCAATAAATAATACTGGGATAACTGGTTAGCCATATGCAGAAGATTGAAGCTGGACCCCTTCTTTACATCATATACAAAAATCAACTCAAGATGGATTAAGTACCTAAATGTACAACCTAAAACTATAAAAACCCTGGAAGATGATTTAGGAAACACTATTCTCCACATAGGCTCTGGCAAATATTTCATAGGGAAGATGCCAAAAGCAGTTACAACAAAAACAAAAATGGACAAATGGGACCTAATTAAACTAAAGAGCTTCTGCACAG